AGAAGGAACGACTGAAACCAACATAAAAAAACATCCTGAAAATACAAAAAAAATATTAAAAAAAAACAGCACATGACTGACAGGAAACTGCTGTTTTTAATTAAAAACTCCTGCTTCACACTATAACTCTGTGAGGGAACATTTCTTCAAGCTGGTCAAAGTTGACTGAAAGGACTGGAGTATATAGAAGACCGGAGACTGGCAACAGGAAATTGACCCAAAACATTCAGCCAGAGTTATAATGGGGTAACTTAGGTCAAAGTATGTCCATGTGTTAGAACGGTCAAGTCAAAGTCCAGACCAAAATGCAGCCTAGAATCTGTGAAAACTGATGTTCACAGATGCTCTCAGCCCAATCTGTTTGATCTTTAACTAAGATGCAAAAAATAGGAAGAAATTCAGTTTTCTTAATGCATACAGTTGATAAAACTTTCAATTTAATTCATTTCAATTTAATCCTACAGCATCGATTCACAACACATGTTAACTCTGCGCACTTTGGAAAAAAAGGTTGAAGTTCATACAATTTATACAAATAAATGTATGAACAATCTAATCGTATGGGGAGATTTAAATTCATTTAAATGCATTATAAATCACTCCTGTTTATGAAACACTACCGTCAACTTCGACCTGTTTTGCCAATTGCTAAAAACGTTTTCGGTCTCAGGAAACTGAGGCAGTTGCATCAAGTCACTGAATTTGCAGCAATCACTCCTCCTGAGCAAACATCTAGCAACAGTGGACAGTCCAAAGCACTGAGGTTAACACTGGCGCAAATACAATCTAAATCTATAACAGCAGTGAAAATGGTTCTGAATACAAAAGCACGACTCACCGCTCACATTTTTAATAGTAGAAATCATTTATAAACACGTTGTGTTTTAATAACATAAAGTTAGTGCGCATATGATGATAAAATGTGACAAAGTTTAACAAACAGAGTCCTTTTAAACGCCACTGTGCATGAAGAAACCCCCTCAGCGTGGATCAAAAACAAAGACACGTCTGTCGCCTTCACCCTCCCCTCAGCCTGATGGGTGCAAGCGACGAAGACATGGAGAGGATGAGAGCGAGCGAGATGCCCCAAGGTTAACACCGGAGGAGATGCGTCTCTGTGTGTGTGGTGGTGGTGGGGGGGGGCAGAAGGGAAACAGCTGCCAGAGGAGTTTACCACCAGTCATTACTGTGCACAGGGGACAGAGGAAATGTAATTTTTACACACAGGCACTTAATAGGACGGACTCAGTGTCCGTAATGCACTGTCCGTGACCCTGTCAGGATGTGAATCTGAGGACCGACACGGACACAAAAACAGAATTCACTGTCAGCAGCGCTTCACCTCTGTTCTCCAGGATGTTTCTGACACATTCATGGACTTATTCACACATTTTCCCAGGGTGTGAAGTGGAAGTGCTGCGACCACGACGGTTAAATTTCATCAAAAGTTGAGGTAGGACACAGATGAAACTTATCTTCATCTGTGTCATTTCATAGCTATTTGCTATACACAAATATTACACTGAAATACAGAAACGAAAAGAAATGCTGTGTGTAAATATTGGGTTGAAAAGTGTATCTTAAAACCAACGTTTTTTTGGGTAGTGAGAAGGCTGAGAGCGACCAATTTTCATAAGAAAAATTGTAGGCTTCATGCCTTGGTTTTATACATCTAAGGCCATGGGAGTGATTGGAAAATCTAATTTTAGCATCATAGTACAAAAGTTAAAAGTTAAGGAGCAACATTTATGCATACGAGTCTCCTAGCCAGCCTCCTTTACTGTATGTTGTTTTTTCTGCAGAAAACCAAAGTGCAAATGTAACTGAGCTCTGTTTTCAATTTACTTTTACTCTCAACAGAGTTGATATCTCACTCTGTTCCCACTGTTGATATTTCATAATTTGTTCAAACAACCCAGCATATAACATGTACCAAATTCAGCAATTCCTTCAATTTCCTCCAATACAAAAAAATATAAAAAATATGCTGAGTAGAGATATGAATTCTGATGACTTTATGGAAATCTGACACTTTGCCTTGTGTTTCACTTCTCTATATCTACCGATTTATGCAGAACAAGGTCACAATCAGTCAAAGCATTCATCTGAACTTCTAAACCCCTAAAAGCTCCAATCCCATCGTCGGGAGAATGAATTTACATTAAAACTGTTGTTGTAAGAGATGAGAGTTCAACCAGATGTGAACCCGAGGCCTCCTTGTCTCTTCTTATCCCTGAGTCCACATTGTGAAGACGGCAGGGCTGTGTGTTGACACTAATTAAGGAGGGCTGAAGGTCTGGCTCTTCTAAGGACAGCCTTCAAACACAATGTGTACATGCAAAACAATCGGAAGTCAAAGGAACAAAAGGCAGCTGCCAGGCTGCCAGTAATAACCATGACTGAACAATACCTTCCCAAAGAGACACAAACTGGCAGCTACTCATAATAGGAAATCCTAATTACAGAGGTTTACAATGCTTATTAAAATTACTAATAATAACTGCTAATAATTACAGCATGCCAGACCTGCCTTTGGGACAATTACACACCCAGTCAGTCAGTGACTCCTTCTTACAGTCAGTCAACCAGGCTCTTTGACAGACTGTCAAATATAGTAAAGAGAATTTACAAGCACAAGGTCGCCGCAGATTCTGCCTGCACCATCTGCAGCCTCAGCAGAAAGCAAGACTGACCAGACGAGGATCTCCAGTCTCCAACCGAGCAGATTCAAGCTGATTCTAATCTTATTCGAGGGGAGCGGACTCTGACATGGAGCTCGGCTGTTGTTTGAGCCTTTAGAGATGTTTTCTTGGTCACCAAGTGTAGCTAAAGGAGAAACACCAGATTATTGTCACTTTCTAAATGAAAATGTAAGCAAAAGTAATAAAAGATCTGAGAACAAAAGACATGTAATCCTGATTTCAGACTGAAAATGTGTGCTCTCGAATTATGGCAGAAAAAATCCCTATACACTAAGTTCTCCAGTTTTCTGACCTGCTGACACCATGTTTAGATTATACTATATTAAAAGCACAGCATAAACGTTTTTTTTCTCTTTATCCTTCCACCAGCTTTTGTTTGTCATATACACTAGAAGCAGGGGCAATGTCACACTGTGTGTACAAGAGTAATCACTGTAAAACAGGGTTTAACTGACAGTTAGAAAAAAAGACAGTGACAAAAAACTGAAAATGAGAGAAAAAACAAAACAGAAAAAAACAGCAGCCAGAGCTCAGAGTAAAACTTTGAAACATCTTTGAAAAGCTGGGAGAGCTGTTGATCAGGACTAGTTTTCAAGACTTCTGTAGTAACTATCACTGAGGTCCAGACAAAACAAAAATCACAATCAGAACACTAAATGGCACACACACAGTTTGTAGATCAACATTAGACCTTGGCAGGGACACAGGAGAATTTAATTACTTCCTCACTGTATCCCCATTGGCCAGGAAGTGTGGGATATGCTAATTAAGTGTTGGCAGATAAAACGCTTCCTCTGCCTCTGAGTCTTATTACTGCAAACTCCTGAGACTGCAGCCAAAGCACCTTTAGCGTCTGACAAATAGGACAGCACCTACAGGTCTATTCAGCTGAAGAGAACGACCTAATAGTAACACAACTTTATGCTAAAAAAAAAACAAAAAACTTTCAGCCGCAATCAGCTTTTTCCATCTTCTGTTTCTAATTGATAATTAGTCTTCCATTAATTTGGGGCTAACATCCATCTCTTATCACAAAGGTACAGTTTATCAGCAGCTTAAATGATGGACTAAATTGGGTTGGCAATGTTAATGAGTCACCTTGCAGCGTATGGGGGACATAAGGGAAATAATTTCTCCTGACTCATATTAAATTAACTGCAGCAGATGTGCTGGGCATGCATTGCAGCTTAAAGAGCGAATGTTAACCATTAGTTGTTGTTTTTTTTTTCAAAGGATGACACAAGTCTTTAATAAAGTATATTTTATTGCAAAAAGATGATATGCACATAAATATAAAAATGCTGATAAAACAGAAATTAAGTTGTTGAATCATTATAAAATGAGATTTGAGATTTTTAGATACAGAGCAATGTAATAAAAATTGTTATACTTCTAAGACAAAGAGGTTTTTTTAAAACGGTTCCTTCATGCACCGGTCCCTGTGAAGGCAGAACCAGCAGTACCAGAACCCTTCATAACGTAAAACCGAAGCTAGTACCTTCAACTTGTGCAACTCGTGTTTTCAAGAGCCAGACGGGATGCTTGATCTGTTCTTGCAAACTCCTTGTTTGGTTTTGTGCATTACCAAAATCGAGAAACACTCAATGCAATAATCAAACTTTTGACTTTTGGTGTTAAACTCAACACAGCGTGAACTGAGTTTGCAGCACATCTTGATTTAACAGCAGCATTACCCAAACAGCCTGTGGCTCTGCTTAAATCCATGAACATTCAATATCATAACATAGAAATAATAGAAATAAAATGCTTGTGAAGAGTTACATATATGTGAAGTGTGTGCTAGTATAAAATGAACAACAGAAATACACTTTAATATCACATCTGGATTCACTAAAGTCCACAAAGTTAATCAGGCAGATAGAGCTGAGGAAACCTTTATTTCTTCTGTCTTATGCTCAATCTATTGGACAGTTTTTGTAGGTTTGTGGACATTTTAAAACAAAAGCTTCACCTTAGAGTGTGTTGAGAGGTTTTATCATAAGCATATTCCAGAAGTGAAGTAACATGAGGCTGAAGTTGGTTTCTGCGTTTACTGTGTTTGTAACAGGCTGTTTCACAATGATTTCCTCATCTGAACTTACTTAGATCAGATCCACTTCCACACTTTATAAATCAAGATGGCTTCTTGAGAATGCATTTATCTACGGGCCATAAACTGGAAAACTGAAACTGAAGTTGTGATGTGGCAAGTTAGAAAATATATGAAAAACAACATAAAGTTACTTTTTTAACCTATTGCAGAAAATGTACTGAGCAATAAAGTCTGGAATAGGAAACATTTTTCCATTATTAGTTGACTTTGTGTCCAATTTTATCCTGGTGTGGAAAGTAATTCCCAAATTTTTCAAAACTATATTATATGTCGGCTTCGACGGCCTATCAGGTTAGACAATAACAGTTTAATCTACAGAAGGAGCGTCGTTTTGAGTTTGAAGCAACAGTAGGTGCTGCTTAAGTGTTAAAACTGAGGGGGAAAAAAAACAATAGTCACACAAAAAATGTTCAGTATTGTGTTGTCTTCCTGTAACTTTGCCCTAAAAGCTAAAACAAAACATTTCACTGCTGTTCTTTCAACAAAATACTAACAATTTTACTTTTAGGATTTTTTTTTAACTTTTGTCAAAATTGAAAAAACAAAAACAAAAAAACACAAAAACAAGCGATTTTTTTTCACAATTTCTACATTCGAACAGCAGAACCTCACTTCTGCAACACATCTTCTTCAGAAAAATGTTTGTTTTCATTCATTATCCCACAACTTCCTTTCTTTGTAGAGACTCCGGGTCAAAACGCCTCTTCAACAACTCACAAACCCGTTTCGTACCAGCATGTTGTTTTCCTAACCAGTAAACAAAACATTTTGTAGTCGTGTATTTTACCACGGCATGTCAGGTTGTTTATTCAAGGTACTAGTTAAGTATTTTTGATGAATCGTGAGGATAAATGACCATAAAAATAATCAAGTCGCACATATGATTTAACTGAATATGATTTACTTTATATTTTTTGATCGCACTCTATGTTTACTGATTGTGGTCTGTGTGAACTCCAATGAAATACAGCTTACTAAGTCACAATAACACAGAGGGGATTATTTGGGAACAAAAACGGAAAGAGAAAAAAAACAGCAAAAGTACAAAATGCCGAGTGTGTGAGATGACCTTTGACTTCCTTCTGTCTTTCTCCCATCACTTCTATTTCTCACTTCTCAGCTTTTACTCACTAGTTTCCAAAGATCTCTTTACCTCTTCCTTTCCTTCTTTCACACTTTCTTTCTTCCTTTCTTTCTTATTCTAAACCTTATCTGACAAACACATATCCAAAAAATTTAATTAAATCTATATTTGTATGAAAAAATTCATTATTTTTCAAGATTCATGGTAACCTCCTCTGAACATTCACTATATTGAGATTTAATCCTCAGTCTTTTAACATTATTCTACATATATAAAAACATTTAGTATCAATTGAAGTTAATACTGCTGAGTCGAGTAGAGTGAAATAAAAATGTTTCTCTTGACTAACTCTCAGTAAATCAACAGTTCAGTGCAACTAAGAGCCGGAGCTCTGAATCAGCTCTGTAAAAACAACAGGGCTGGCTTGATCTTAATGCAGTTGCAGAACGCAGATGTTTGGAAGCAGGTGTGAAATGAAACTAAAAGCAGTTTGTCCTGCAGTTTTACCACCAGACTGTAATGCAAGAGATACTGATAGTAAAAATGTCAGAGTTCATCATACATTCAAGTAGGAATTGGTTTAAATAAAGTTAGTGAAGGTCCAGATCAGCTAATATCATCAGAGGTTGATGGAAATGTCAAATTTGAGATTTAGCTGATTATTAATATTTTTATCTGATGTGAAATATTACTAAGTTTAACACTGAGCTGGAGTCATAAAGTTTCCCATTTGGATCTTATCTAATTCTGTGCTAGAAAAGTAATTAAACTCAAGTTGACTGACAGAAATATCATTATTAAAAATGAAAAAAAGTGCAATGTTATTAAAAGCATATCATTACACAGGGACATATTTCATACAGCGCTTTACTGTGATGTAACTTCAGGAGTCATAAAGGAAATCTGAAGGAATTAAGAAATTAAAAGTCGGGTTAAGGAAATGGCTCACTGGCAAAAAAAAAAAAAAAAAAAAAAATCCATTTAACACTCTGGCAGCGCCCACACACAAAAACAATTTTTCTGAAGGTAAATTGGCTTGACAGAAATCTTTCCTTGACTGTCAATATAGCCATGTGTACACTTTAAGAGGATTTAGAAAAATTATCACTGAGTTGCTGATGATCAAATACACTTGATTACTTGATCATCAGAAAAATTCATGCTTTGACAGTTAGGCAATGCCAAGATGGAAAGACATGTACTGAATCAACTGCATCAATCTAGAAAGGGCTCCAAGACTAAATTTTAAAAAATTCATCATTCTACATTTAGAAAGGTTATTTACAAGTGTAAAAATATTTAAGGCAGCTGCCAGTCTTCCCATAGTGGACATTCCAACAAACTAAACCCATGTAAGGCCCTACAATGCTGCAAAAAATGCCTAAAATCCAAAGATTGGCATATTTAATGTAACATTACAAAAGATTGAAAAAGTATGGGTGTCTGTAATGGTTCCAAAGGGAAAGTTTCTGTTCCATGGTTTGCAAAGTTGCATCTGGTTGGACAACACAACTTCTCGAGTATTGGTCTTTGCATACAGTAAACTGTGAGACCAAATTGGCAATATTAATGAGTCACATTGGAAAATTGTGTCCCAAGCACTGGAGTAGAAATACAAAAGAATGGCTCAACAAGTAAGGAATTCAAAATGTCACTATGGCCCAGTCAAAGTCCAGACCTCAATCTAATCTAACTGGTGTGAAGGGACCCTTAGAGTGCTGCGGTGGACTGGTGACCTGTCCAGGATGTACCCTACCTCTCACCTGTTGACTGCTGGCGATAGGCAACAGCACCCCTGGCCACCCATAGGGATTGGATAATAGATAGATAGGACTTTAAGGAGCTGTGCATTAATAAATGCATTAAAATAATCCTGCACAGAAAACCAGACGCCTCCACCACAAGAAAAGAGACTGAAGTGGTCACACAGAAACTAACTACTGAGGTGTTCCTACAAATTATTGCATGGAGGGATGCACTTAGTTTTTGCCATGGCTGTATCTAATGCGTGAATTGATTTAGATTTTCAAAATTAAGTAGTAATTATTAATGGAATAAAGCTTTAAAGTGATTTTCAATGACATATCAACACATTTTTGAACCATTTCCTTCCATTTTCCATAATGTACATCCTCCTCACAGTGAATCAAATACTTCCAGTCACATTCAAAACAAAAGAAGTGGTTTTATGCACAGATCTAATAACACTGAAGAGTCTATTCTGTGTTAATCATCGTATTCTGTAGAAAACATCCGTTGTACTGTTTTTATTTTCACTAATCTGTCATTTGAGTTACTTTGGAGAAGCACAGGAACCATCAGGACCAGTAGAGACTTCAGATGCCGGATTTAAACTGATCCTGTTACTTTCATATATTTTACTGACTTAGATCTTTATATCTTAATATGTGTGAAGTATAAAGTAATCATTTAACACAGAATATCTTTGAAGCAATTTAAAATACCAAGCAGACAGCCACACCACAGACATTTGCTGATTTTCATCAAGGTATTAATAGTAGAAAAAGGTGCAAAAATATTTGGTAGGTTTTGCACGTTTCAGTCTGTGGATCTTGTGGTGAAAGTAATCCTCTGTTTGGAGTTGGTTTGGCGTTGCTCTCCTCCTACATCCCCAGTATAACCATACTGGTCAGTGCTGGGTTCCATTTGGTGCCTGAAACCAATTAGATACTCTCAAATTAAACGAGATCAGCATCAGTGTTACATTAATTAGTACATATGTGATTTATAAAAGCAAAAAAATAACTGCAAAAATTACCTGGAACTGTCATCGTCCGTGATTGATCTCCTACCTATAGCCCCCACCCACAGTTCCACGTGCCATGGTGTCGTACCGCGGTGCCCGCAGTGGAGGAGTGGGAGATGGCGGCACGTCCTGCCGCAGAGGTCCTCTCTGCTGGGTACTGACAGCAGGAAACCATGGAAATTAGACAAAGAAAGATCCAACTGTCAAAATGAAGAAATGCACAATGCCCCTCACTCTGGTTTTACTCAGTCAGGAGAAAAACCTATAAAAAAATTACAAGTTCCAGTGTTGTTGGCACTGCTAATGATACGTTTAAAATGAATGCAAACTATTTTTCAATGTAAGTTTTATATGTTAAGTTGATCAGTGTTGAAGAACTTCTAGTTATCCATTATTTTTTTCTCTTGGGTTTAACAAGAAAACAAAAAATCATGAATTATAATGGTAGAGTGGACCCTCAGTATTAATGGAGACCTCCTCTGAAACTCCAATAACTGCCTAGTTTATATGTTCAAGCAGTAAATGCACCTTAATATGTATCAATACACACTACGAAACAACCTTGACACGACTGATTTCTAAAGTCTTTCTCAGCTCCAGTTTTGGAGGTTCAGCCAATCAGGATCAAAGACCATAAAAGGCCCTACTGGATTGGCTGCTTTGCCCACTAAAGCCCATAGCAAGTCAAGTAGCATTGTCCCTGGGTATTGCAGCTTTCCAAGTTGCATTTTCTTTTGAATTTTTTACAAAACAAAAACTTTATGAAAAAAATTACAAAAAGTTCAAACTATTTGGAGTTGCATTCTACAAAACAAATCCACAAGTAGGCAAATTTGGGAACAGGTGTGGGTTTATTGTATTCCACCTCTGAAAATGACAAGACAATAAAGAAGATCTGTGTTGATCATACCAATTCAGGAAATGGTTACAAGACAACTTGTCCAAATTTGGTCATGCTTACAGTGAGAGCAAAAATTAAAAAGCTAAAAGAGTTAAAACTGTGACCAACAAAGCAACTTGACACTCTATGTCTGTAAGATCTAACCTTATACATTTTTTGACTGAAAGACTATTTGATTTTAAGGGAAACGTGGTAATAGTGATATTTCCAAAAATTAAATAAACATTTTTTAAGCTCAAATTAAAGGTATAATTTTTCAAAATTATGTACGTGTGTGATGCCATTACAATAAAAGACATTTGTTCTCAACCTTTTTTCACATCTTTTCCAGTGGTAACATTGAGAATGTAAGGTGCTTTATAAATTACTACAACTAGTACAAAAATAACAATATCATCTGTATAAAGCTTTATTGTACAGACAATTGTAAGGCAACATATGTAAACTGACTAACCTGGGGTGAGGGTAGTAGCCAGGTTCAATCCCTCGAGGGTCTCTTGGCTGTTGATAAGGCTGGCCAGGCAGGAAGTTGGAGAATGACGGACCAGACTGGGAGTTGATGTTAGAGTAAGTTGGTGATTGGGGGTACCCCGACTGGGCTTGTGGAGGTCCGGGGTAATGACCCGACCATGACTGCATTGGGTAGTCAGCAGGATCCATCGGCCCTCGTCTATAAAAAGAGAGTTGATGATTTTGTGATTATTTGGGGACTTTGCTGAGAAATTTTTGTCTTTCAAGTTTTAGTATTTGTTTTTATTTCTCTTTTTG